GATGGCACCTTTTGAGGCGTTATACGGTCGCCCGTGTCGATCACCTGTTTGTTGGATGGAGGTTGGAGAGAATCGATTCTTAGGTCCTGAGTTCATCAAGGATACTTCTGAAAAGATTGCTCTTATTCGAGATCGCATGCGTACTGCCCAAAGTAGGCAGAAGAGCTATGCTGATCATCGCACTCGTGCTTTGGAGTTTCGGGTTGGGGATCAGGTTCTTCTCAAAGTATCTCCTATGAAGGGTGTTATGCGCTTTGGGAAGAAAGGGAAGTTGTCTCCGCGGTTTGTCGGTCCATTCATGATTACGGATCGAGTGGGAGCTGTCGCTTATCGGTTGGCACTTCCGGATAATTTGGATCGCGTCCATAATGTGTTCCATGTTTCCATGTTGCGGAAATTTCTGCGTGATGAGGATCGGTATCAACATATCGATGTTGGGGAGATTGAGTTGCAGCCGGATGCAACTTATTTGGAGCCACCATGTCGTATTGTTGACCGTCGGGATCAAATCCTTCGCAATAAGGTTATCCCTTTGGTTCGTGTGCAGTGGAGTCATCACAATGAGGCTGAGTCCACTTGGGAACGGGAGGATGTCATTCGCTCGCAGTTTCCTGAAATATTGGAAGAAGGTAAGAGCGAATTCCGAGGACGGAATTCCTTTTGTTAGGGGGGAAGAATGTAATACCCCTAATTTTAAAAAGGATAGTCTCGGCATTTTTTTTTTTTAACATATTTAAAACTTTATTTTATTATCTTTATCGCATTTTTATTTAATTGGTTATTTGAACTTTGACTTAAATTGTTTTATGTGATTATTTGGTTTAATTGTTGTTTACCTATGTGTCATGTGTTTTAAATTGAATTAAGTGTTTTTAATTATTTAATTGGGTTTTTAATTGAAATTATTTAGTTAAGTGGATTTAATTATGTAATTGTTTTTCATTTAATTCTGCTTTAAGTTACAGTTAACTTTGGGGTTGGAAATTTCATGCCGTAACAAAAGTAGTTTCATGGGCCGACTAGGTTTAGAATTAGGGCTCTGTCTCTGATTAAACACGGATTAGGGTTTATGTTTTACGCCTATATATATATGGTTACTCTGTATCAAGGGTTGGAAAAACAAAACCCTATTCACGTACCCAAGATACAGAGAGGGAAACAGAGAGCAGTTGTGGGGAAAACAGAGTGACGCTTAAGAGGAAGTGTACAGAGAGGACCAAGGAGGTTGAGTAAGGATTAGAGACTGAGTTATAGGAAGCTTGGCGGCGTTCAGAATTGTCGGAAAACTTAGAAACGACACAGGGATTTCAAGATTGAAATCACAGGCAAGTTCTTCTCTTTCTCCTTCCCTTTGGCTTGTGTTCTGTGCACCTAGACAGTCTCTAGGAGATTAATTGGCCTTAAACTGAACCGTGCATGTTTGATATATAATTTGCTTGATCGTTTTATCTGTGCAAAATTTATTTACAAAATAATTATAGCGCGTATGTTTTCTTGACTCAGTTTTGGCATAACGTCCCACTGTTCTAATTTTTATTTTGAATCTTACTGAAATCAACCAAGGTCTGACTAGATACTAGACTTAAGTTAAGACTTCAAATTTAAATTGGAGAAAGAACAGAGGTGTTGGGATAAAACTAATTTTGCAATTTAGTTTCAGTGCCGTTCTTCAACAACGCTAGTTTAAATGGCCTGATTAAACTCTGTAATTGCTTTCAAAACTATTGTAAACAATCTTGGGGAATGCTTTTAGACTAAATTATGAGTCCTAAGTTTGGTTTTAAAAACTAACAGAGGGTTAGGAATAAGCCGGAGAAGGAGCACAAGAGCTGAAACACGCACCGGGGACGAAGGCTCACATAGGAGGTGAGAGCCGGCTCCATGGAAGTGGGAGCCGGCTCCCACAACAAAGTGGAGCCGGCTCTAGGGAGTCCTAGAGCCGGCTCTAGGCTGGAAAAGAGCCTGCTCCAAATTCTGGAGCAAGCTCCCTTGTTGTTTTGATTTATTTTACGATTTTTTTTTTCATTTTCTACATACTATGTTCACTGTTAGAGCATGGAGACTGTTTGAATGAGTTTGGAACTTTACAGAGGGATCAAGGAATGAATTTTGAGTGTTATTAAGACCCTAAATTGAGTAAAGTTTAATTCTAAGTTGTCGGGACAAACAGTGTAAAAATTAAGGCACTTAACAAACGGAAGTTGAATAAATTGTTGAATTAAAATTCAGCAATTTGATGGAACATAATGTGTTTATAAAACTTGTTTTAGAATGCATTCAAGTGCATGATAAGGTTATTTAATTATTAATTTTGATCTATGCATGCTTAGGAGGCTAGTTGCTGAACTATTAAATTGTTTACTGCAACTATATGGTTAATGCTTGGATTTAAACTGCTGAAATATTTAAACAATCTTCTGAATTGTTTTAGCAAGTTATTGGTTAATAATAGGATTATTTAACCTATTCACATGCATGATGGAGTCCCTGACATATTAAATTTGGTCTATGCATGCTCTGGATGTTAGTTGTTGATTTGTTAAATCGTCTCCTGCAACTATATGGTTAAATGCTTGGATTTAAATTGCTGAAGCTTTAAATATTTTTCTGCAATTGTTTGGATGGTAGTTTTGGTCCGTAAATTATTGAACTGTTATATATGTTGTAATTTACATGGATATGGATGATGGTATGTACCGGTATGGGACGGTGACATACTAGGGACGGTTTAGCTCAAAACGCATAAACCTAACCTAATGGATTAATGGAATGGATTGAAAGATATCGAATCCTAATTGTGACTAAGTCAGATCAGCTGTAAACAAGTTGGATGACTTCCTGGATTAACGGATGGTAGTTAAGTCATATCAACTGAATAAGTTGAATGACTAACTAGTTGGTTTTTTGTATGACAGTTTAATAAATAGTTGAACTGCATACCCTGGATTTGGACGGACTTTATATATATGGTTATGGTACCACGAGTTGAGCTTGAGTCTCAGACTCATTGGTTAGGGTGCGTATATGCAGTGGATGCGTAACTGGTTATAATAGGTTGAGGTGTACCCTGTTAGGTCTAGGTACTCATGCCCACCTTTGGGTGCGTATTCGCATGTTGTCTTCTATTCAGGTTGAGACCCCTATTATAGACTGGTGAATGTCCCTTAGTGTGGATATATTTATACGTATGGACTAGATAGATATTGTGAGGTGTCTACGGTGTATCTGCGTATCGGGTCACTGTATGGATTGCAGTTAGATTAGAACTTGCTCGTGGGTCTGACCCACTCCTTTATTATTCTTTTCAGGTACAGGACGGTTCCAGCCTTAGAGCTTGATCGTGCTTGTCGAGGACAGTCTCACCTTCATCTGATTACGTAGAACTTCTCTCGATATTTCTAGCATTATCTATTTTCAGTTTTCAGTTTCAGTTGAACTTTTGGTTAGGGGTCCATCAGTGGATTCCCAAGTTGTAACCTTGAAGTTTTGGAGGATTGGATTTTTAATTTTCAGTTATACATGGAGGATTTTATAATTAATGTTACTTTCAGTTTAATCCATCACTTTTGTTTCAGTTTGTCATCTGTGTTCGCTTTAAAATACTTTAATTGTTTGATATTCCCTCGGGTTTGGGCCTGGGCCTGATCAACCCGTGTCTCGGATCCGAGGGGTATCACACCCGTCACACTCAAGCCCAAATTGAGTGTGTTCTCATCCCAGGGTCTCAGTTATCAGCCCTCTAGACCTTTATCCAGGTCGGATCAAAAGGGTATCAACCCATTCGCTAATATCAAGCATACGGCCCATTATTCAAAGCCCAGCCAGTTATGAAAAAATCCTGCCAATAAGAGGATTTACCATGGAAGGAAATTTTACACAAGGCAAGTTTTGTGCATAGAAAATTCTTCAATGGAAAGAACTCTAATTGTAAAGAAAGTCATACATGGAAAGGATTGGAGGACAAGCAATGCGAGTCCTACCATAATTCTACTATTTTTTGTGTATAAATAAAGGCCAAGACCTCCAATAAAAGGATCCCAAAATCATCAATTCTACGCTTTGACATATATTGTTCTTGTTGATTTTTACTATTGATTGAGTGAGTTGTTTTATTTTTCTTAATCATTATTGGTTGAGCAAAATTTTGCACCTACACTTCGGCGTCGTCTGTGGGAACGTGTGCAAATATATTCCCACTCTTGTTTCACAGGTTAATCCTGCGACTACCATCCGGAATGTCGAACGGAGGATCTTCAACAGATCAACAGACGGAGTTGATGCAGAAGATGCGTGAAGAGTTTCTACACCAGTTTGACGTACTTCATTAGGCAAATGAAGCAAGCGTGGCTTAGATCGCCTTGCTTCAACAGCAGAATAACACTCTGCAAACGGCGATAGCTTAATTGACACCACCGCCACCAATGGGTGACACAGTAGCACCCCCTAATCAGAATATTCCTCCGATTACCGGGCTTCCACCTAATGGGGCTTCACCTAATGGGGCACGACCCAATGAGGCTCAGCCAAATGAGGTTCAGCAACAACAGAGGGCAAGATCCGAGGCTGTGGCTTCAGACAACGTCCCTCGTCGCACGCAGGATGAGCAAGTCGAATCCAGTCATAAGCTCACGGTGTGGTCTAATGGAATTCCAGATGGTACAGGTGTTCAGGATGCCTTTGATGAGAAAAGACTCCTGAAGATTCAGACACCTGCTGAGATGGCCAGAGAACACAAAAATTCCTTGGTCAAAACTCCTTTCACTGATGATGTGTATCTGGTTGAGAGGCCCAAGAAATTTACCATGCCTTCTTTCACCCAGTTTGATGGAATGGGGGATCCTTTTCAGTACCTAGATCATTAAGCTCAAAAGATGGCTTTGGATGATCGTAATGACCATTGGATGTGCAGAGTTTTTCCTACCAGCTTGACAGGAGCAGCACTATAGTGGTTCAGGAATAGACTGCATAAGTCCATCCCGGATTACGTAACTCTGTGCACCATGTTCCTGGCACAGTATTGCGGAAATAAAAAGCAAAAGAAGAGCATTGCCAGCCTCTTCATCATAAGGCAAAAGAAGGGGGAAACACTGCAGGATTTCTTATCAAGATTCAACATAGAAGCCTCAGAAATAGCAGATTGTCATCCCGCAACTGCTATAGAGACATTTAAACTTGCGATGATTCAGGGGACGAAGTTCCATACTTCCTTGGTCAAATATTCTCCTCCCGACATGCAGACTCTCAATGCCAAGGCCCAGATCTACATTCGGCTCGAGGAAAATATAGCCCACCGAGCGCAGCACGCCACCCTCATGATTGTGGAGAACAAGCCTCGAGAAAGAATTCCAACTTCAAAGATTCAGAAAAGCCAACGTTCCTCAACGCTGATCAACCAGGCACCTGAGAAGAGACAAAGGGTAGAGGAAGGAATTAAACCTCTCCAAACTCCCTTGGCTCGGCTCTTACAAGAGAATAAGATGAAGTTCACAACTCCGCAGCCAATAAAGCAACCCCTGGAGCAAAGGGACAAAAGCAAGCATTGCGCTTATCATCAAGATTATGGGCATTCAACCAATGATTGCAGATCCCTTAGGCGACAAGTGGAGAATATGATCGCCAGAGGTGAGTTGGCGGATTACCTCATGACAAAGGAGTATGCAAAGCCCCGCGAGGTCTATCCCTACAAGGTAGAAGGTACGCAAGTAAAAGTCATTCACGTAATACATAGCAGGTCTGAAAATGATCAAGAGTTCGAGGGGGTATACAGATCCAGATTGAGGGCAGCCCACAAGCTCAGGAAGATATCCTCGGTCAATGCTATCGCTTCTGGTAGCATCAGTATTGGATTCGGAGATGGCGACCTATCCAGAGTTCAACTCCCCTACAAGGATCCATTGGTCATCAGTCTTTTAGTGGCCAATTGTATGATCAAGAGGGTTTTGATAGATCCAGGAAGTAGCGCCAACATTATCACAAAGACAGTCTTTGAGCAGCTGGAGATCCCGTCATCATCTATTCGACCTACCTCCAGCCCGTTAATGGGATTCGATGGCACAAGAGTAGATCCCCTTAGAGTAATAGACTTGTCCGTAACTGTGGCGAAGAAGACTCTGAAAGAGAATTTTATTTTAACAAAGATCCATCCTTCTTATAATTTCATCATGGGAAGAGGCTGGATACATCGGATGAGAGGAGTTCCGTCCACCTTTCACCAGGTGATGCGGTGCTTATCTCCAGACTGAAAAGAAGTAATTAATCTATGGGGTGATCAAGTCGCTGCGAAAGAATGCTATATGTTGACACAGGCTGAAGCAAAGAAGGTGTCTACTTAGCAGCAACCAGGTGTGGCTTCCAAAAATATACCCAAATAGCAATTACAGAGCTCTCCGCCCAAGTATCTTAAGGTAGAGGAGGAAAAGGAAATTGTGAAGCCCACCGAGGAGACCCTTGAAGCCGTGGAAGTCATCCTCGGTGACCCTCAGAAGGTCACTTATTTAGGCTCTTCCTCCACGTCCGAAGAAAATGAGGCATTAATTGATGTTATTCGGAGCAATGCAGATGCTTTTGCATGGGATCACTCGGACATGGTAGGAATCAATCCTTTAGTTTCCTGCCATAGCCTGAAGGTGGATCCGGAGTTCAAATCGGTTAAGCAGAAACATCGAAGGTTTGCCCCCGAATGCAATAGCATTATAGCTGAAGAAGTGAACAAATTATTGCAAGCAGATTTCATTCGAGAAGTGTAATATCCACAGTGGCTGTCAAACGTGGTGGTCATACAGAAGAAGAATGGAAAGTGGAGGGTTTGTGTAGACTATACCAACCTTAACAAAGCCTGCCCTAAAGATAGCTTCCCTATGTCCAAGATAGATTAGATGGTTGATGCTACCACCGGCTACGAGAGACTAACATTCCTTGATGCATACTCGGGATATAATAAATTCCTATGAACCCTGAAGATGAAGAAAAAATGGCTTTCATTACAGAAAATGGGACTTATTGTTACAGGGTCATGCCCTTCTGGCTGAAGAACGCTGGGGCTACTTATCAACGTCTTGTCAATAAGATATTTGATAATCTATTGGGAAAGACAGTTGAAGCATATATAGATGACATGGTGGTCAAAAGTGTGAAGAAGGAAGACCATCCGAAGCATCTCCAGGAAGTTTTCAATACCTTGAAGAAGTACAACATAAAGCTGAATCTATCCAAGTGCTCCTTTGCGGTATCATCAGGTCAATTCCTCGGCTACATAGTGAATAAAAGAGGGATAGAGGTAAGTCTGGCTCAGGCTAAGGCCCTCATCCAGAATCAGGAACTAAAAAATCGCAGGGAGGTACAAGTTCTTACCGGTCGGCAGCCCTCAGCCGGTTTATATCCCGATTGTCAGATAAGTGCAAACCATTCTTCGATGCTATAAGATCTAAGAATAAGGATATATGGGGACCTCAGCAGCAGGAGGCCCTTAATCAGTTGAAAGGTTACATGGCCAAACCACCAATTCTATCCGCTCCAAAACCCGAGGAGGTTCTTATTATGTATTTGGCGATTTCTAGTATAGTGACAAGTGCAGCATTGATTAGAAAGGAAGGAAAGAGGCAATATTCAATCTTCTACACAAGTAAGACAAAGACAGATGCGGAGACACGATATAGCAAAGTAGAGAAAATCATCTTAGCCTTGGTCTATGCCAAAAGGAAGCTTCGGCATTATTTTGAATCTCACAGCATTGTGGTACTCACCAATTATCCTATACGGGGTATACTCTCTAAGCCCGATCTATCTGGAAGAATTACCAAATGGGCTATCGAGCTTAGTTCCTTCGACATAACTTATGAGCCAAAGGTGTCGCACAATGGACAAACCGTGGCAGACTTTCTTCTCGAATATGAAGACACTCCCGAAGAGTTGGAACCCCCTGAACCACAGTGGGAGATTCAGGTCGATGGTTCCTCGAATCAAACAAGTGTAGGGGCAGGGATTGTTATGTCAACACCCGAAGGCACCAAGTTGCAACAGTCTATTTGTTTGAAATTCCCTACTACGAACAATGAGGCCGAATATAAGGCGTTACTTGCTGGTCTTCGATTGGCCAGCAGCCTTCAGGTACGTTGTTTAAAGGTTTTTAGTGACTCACAGCTTGTTATAAATCAAGTGACAGGTTAGAACCACCCCAAAGAGGAAAGAATGAAGGCATATAAAGAAGCTGTGGAGAATGTTACACAGGGATTCGATTAAGTCGAATTCTGTCAAGTGCCTCGTGTTGAGAACGCTGAAGCAGATCAATTGGCCACAGCAGCGTCATCCTCAATTGAAGATCTGACTCAGATTGTGCTGATTGACATTTTGGACGAACCCAGCATTAACTCTCAGCAAGAAGTAATGGTGATTCCAGTTATTCCTAGAGAACCATGCTGGATTGATCCATTGGAAGCCTACCTCAAGCATGGAATTCTTCTAAACCAGAAGCCTGAAGCACGGAAGCTCCGACTCACCGCAGCTAAATATTCCATCATTAACAACCAATTGTACCGGAAGTCATTTTCAGGTCTTTACCTGAAATGTTTAAGCCCTACTGAGGCTCTTGTGGTGTTGAAACAAATCCATGATGGAGATTGCGGCAACCATTCTGGGGGTAAATCCCTTACACATAAAGTTCTAACTCAAGGCTACTTCTGGCCGTACTTGGCCCGGAATGCAGAAGAGTATACTCGGAGATGTGACAAATGTCAACGCCACGGTCCGATGAAGCATCGACCTACCGAAGATTTGCATGTAATGGCAAATCCATGGCCATTCGCACAATGGGGAATTGATATGGTGGGCCCTTTACCTAAAGCCGTGGAGCAAAAAGAGTACGTGCTACTGGCTACAGATTACTTTACTAAATGGGTAGAAGCCAAGGCTTACTCAAGTATGACCCATGAGCAGGTAAAAAGTTTCCTTTGGAATAACATCATTTGCCGGTTTGGGGTTCCAAAAGTCATCATGAAAGACAATGATAAGAACCTCGACAATAAAAGTACAAGAAAATTCTTCGCTGAGCATGGAATTGTGCAAAAGCTAGCTGCAGTCAGTCATCCACAAGGGAATGGACTGGCTGAAATAACTAATCGAACCATTTTTAGTTGTTTAAAGAAGAAGCTGGAGAAACTCAAAACAAAATGGTACGAGAATCTCCCTTAGGTGCTTTGGGCGTACCGAACCACTCCACGACGGCCCACGGGGGAAGTCCCTTTGCCATGGCTTATGGATCCGAAGCTGTGATCCCAACTGAAGCGGTAGGTCTAACCCTTCGGACATTCTTGTTGCTTGAGGGAAACAATAGTCAGCAGCTCGAGCATAGTCTCGATCTCCTGGACGAAAAAAGGGATGCTGCGGCAATTAGGCTTGCTTCATATCAGCAACAGCTGCGCAACAGTTATAACAAACGCGTCAGATTCAGGAGCTTTTTGGTAGGCGATTAGGTTCTGAAGCAAGAAATGGCTCATGTAAAGAAACTCGAACCTAATTGGACTGGACCCCACAGGGTTACCGAAGTAGTAGGGAAGGGAGCATATCGTTTGGCCGAAACTGACGGACGAATAAGTTGTCAATTTTGTTAAGAATTCTTCACAAATAAGGCTGCGTAAGCTCACAGTCAGCCAAGCTTTTCTTTATTTTGCTTCTATCATATTCAGTACAATTTTACTCCATTTGTTCCTTTCCATAAAAATGAGGGCCATACCACTCTATGATTATGCAACTTTGCGTCGCATTATGTAATTTTTATACACAGAAATTTTTATACACAGCAATTTTTAGGCATGCCAAGTCGCACACTATGGCATGCCAGGTCACACACTATGCAATTTTTATGCAAAGAAACTTTTATAAAAAAACACAACCAAAAAAAAAAAAAAAAACATGAGTTATGGCCTATGGTTAAAACTCTCTGTCCCACATTGACAAAAAAGAGTGAGTTACATTTTGTTATATATGGGAATATTCAAATAGTTGATTGCAGTGTAAGGAAGGCCTACTGGTATTAAAGGCTGTCGAGCTCAATACCAGATGCATTCCTTACACCGACCTTTTTGACAAAATTTAGTTTATGTCCCACATCGGATAAAAATAGAAAAGAAATGTGGTTAATATATGCGTGGTCCGTTACATTTGGTTGCCAAGAAGGGAGTATCAATGGAGGAAAGTCTTCAAAGTGAACAAATAGGAAACTTCCCAGCCCCTGTTACTCGCTTTCTTGGCCTACTATCACTTTTGAGTCCTCGGCCTCATGATAAGTTGTTTGAAAAAGAAAAAAGAATATGTAGGTATATGCAAACTTCTCCTCAGGCTCAACGCCAAGGAGGAACCTACTTGCCTCAGACCTTGAGTGTCCGGCTCAGCAAACCTCCCCTCAGGCTCAGCGCCGGGGAATAATTCATTAGCCTCGGACCCTGAGTGTCTGGCTCAGCAAACCTCCCTTCAAGCTCAGCGCCGGGGAGAAATTCATTAGCCTCGGACCCTGAGTGTCCAGCTCGGCAAACCTCCCCTCAGGCTCAACGCTGGGGAGTAATTCATTAGCCTCGGACCCAAAGTGTCCGGCTTCGCAAAACCTCCCTAAGGCTTAGTGCCGGGGAGTAATTTATTCGCCTCGGACGCAAAGTGTCCGGCTCAGCAAAACCTCCCTAAGGCTCAGCGCCGGGGAGTAATTTATTCGCCTCGGACCCAAAGTGTCCGGCCCAGCAAAACCTCCCTAAGGCTCGGCGCCGGGGAGTAATTTATTTGCCTCGGACTCTAAGTGTCCGGCTCAACAAACCTCCCCTCAGGCTCAGCGCCGTGGAGTAATTCATTAGCCTCGGACCCAGAGTGTCCGGCTCAGCAAACCTCCCCTCAGGCTCAACGTCGGGGAGTAATTTATTCACCTCGGACTCTAAGTGTCCGGCTCAAGCAAACCTCCCATCAGGCTCAGCGCCGAGGAGTAATTTATTCACCTCAGACTCTAAGCGTCCGGCTCAGCAAAACCTCCCTAAGGCTCGGCGCCGGGGAGTAATTTATTTGCCTCTCGGACTTTAAGTGTCCGACTCAACAAACCTCCCCTCAGGCTCAGCGCAGGGGAGTAATTTATTCACCTCGGACTCTAAGGATCCGGCTCAGAAAACCTCCCCTCAGGCTTAGTGCCAAGAGTAATTCATTCGCCTCGGACCTAAAGTGTCCGGCTCAAAAACCTTACTCTCACGCTCATATTTACTGATTCTAAGTTCGGTAATATAAGCCACAAGATTATCCCACATCGAAAGACTACAAGGAGAAACAAGTATAAATATACCTGCTTCACACAAATTCATTTCAAGAAGGGTTCCCTTGACGGTTAAATCACCAAAAGAAAAAACAATCCTCTATTATCAGATAAACCTTAAAGGAGATCTCCTCTTCATATCTTATTTATTTTGCTTCGGACAAAAACAGATAAGGAACCCTCAGGCAGGGTACTTTTCTTCAAAAAAAAAAAAAAAAAAATCTCATCCAACAGAGTGTGTGCAATATCGAAAGCACACAAGCATACTCAGTCGAAGCAGAATAAAAGTGACACAGCTTAAGAAACAAGGTTATATCATTCATGTTTATCATTCGCCTCAGTTGTTTCATTACAAAAAAAATAAAATAAAATAAAATAAAATAAAAATAAGTTATTCGATCCTACTTCCTCTTCGGATCAAACGGGGCAGATTCGAAAGCATCTACCACAGCTAGACTTGCAGTTGGAGGATTGGAGGGGCCAGTTGCAGGAGTGGAGACACTTAGAGCTGAAGGGACCTCAGGGTAAGCTTTCACCATCTCAGCGAAAAGAACTTCAGCTTCCTGAGCCTTCGAACCCTCATCATAAGGGAAAGACACTCCCATATGAGCTTCAAAAGCCTCGGGATCTGTGGTTTTTTCCACTGAACCTTGATTGAAGCCGGACCTGAAGGCTTTAACGCTAGATAAGCGCACCAAACTGGAGTAACGACCTTGCATCTGCCTCCCGACAATGATGCAGGTGCTAAGGGCATCATTCAAACGCTGGACTTCAGCCTCCAGCGATTCCACTTTTGCATCAGAAGCAGCCAGATGCTTCTTATAAACATCCCGAGCCTCATATGCAATTTGTGCATTGGTAATGGCATGGGATGCCTTCTTCTCAGAATTGCTGAGATCTTTCTCCAGCTTCTTAATAGAAAGAGACAGAGCCTCAGCAGTGGCACAAAGGGTCATAGTGTGATACAAGCCCTGCATCATCAGACAATAAAAATACTAAGATAAACAAAATGGAGAAGAAAGTTAAAAGAGCAGAAGGGAGAGCAAACCTCTATGGCTCGAACGGGGGCAGATGGAAGCAACTGTTCCAATCCCATTCTGCCAATAATTTCTTCATCTTTGGGAAGCCACATCCCTCGAGCAACTGCCAGTGCAGCGGATGGGTCGATAATCATGGAATCACCAGAGTGAAGCACCGATTTATCAGCTCTTGAGAAAGAGGGAGTCCAAGGTGCCCCGATCTCAACCAAAACATATGCTCTGACCTCTTTCTCAGGGTCAGTTTCTTCAGCCTTTTTTCCTTTGCTCTTAGAAGGAGTCTTATTCTTGCCAGAGGGAGGTGGGTTGGACCTAGTCTTCTTTAAAGGAGGCTCATCAACCTCAGTCTTGTGCTCATTTGATCTAATAATTATCAGAGGCTGATCCTCAGGAGCTTTCTTCTTTACCGCTTCAGCCCTCTGTTTTTCTTCCTCAGTCATTGGGAAGGTATCAAAAGAAGGAAGTGAAAAGTCCATGAGGTCTGTAGCTACAGCTCTGGAAGTAATTTCCTTAAGGTTTGCCGAGGTAAGCAAATGCTCAACAGAGGAGGAATCGTACCAAACTTGCTTTTCAAGGAAGGAGAGTCTTTTCTTGGCAACAGAAGAAGGAAATGTCACTGAAATAAGACCAAGAAATTCATAAATACACCGAACGAGTAGGACTCGACATGGGAAACAACCAAAACAATTTCCCAAACTTGCATAGGATTGGGAGCTTGCTCGATTGAGATACAGCCCATTTCCCTTTAATGATTATCATCCTCTCTTTTCACTTCTTTTCAGAAGAAGGGAGGTTTGTACATATCCTCTGGTGCAAAGGAGAAGTAAAATAAAAGCGGCCAGGTTTGGTTCCGTGCTTGGAAATAGGATAAGTAATCAGCAAATCAGCAAGAGTCAAATCAAGACTCTCCAACCTTCGGTGAACTAGGAGTGCCTAGATTATTCGGAAGAAGTTACGGTTTACTTGTAGGGGTGCAATCCCTAATTTATTAAAAACTAGATGATAAAAAGGGTGAAGGGGGAATCGAAGGGCGTTGAGATGCCGAACAGAAAGGAGCAACTCGTCATCGCCAACGCCCTCGTCGGCACAAAAATCGGAGTCCTTGGGGTATTCTACAATTTCTACATCCTCGGGAATCTCAAAATCCTCCATTGTGGATTCAATGGAGAACTTAATACGACGAACAGATAAGATTGCATTTTTCTCTTCCTTAGTAAAAATGTTATCCGACCCAGAGGCGGACGTCTCAGCCGGAAGTGAAGAAATATCCAGCTGATTGGCCGAGTCATCTGCAGATCTAGGGAAGCCAGAAACCCTAGGAGGAGAAACCCTAATGAGGTTGGGGGAAGACGAAGGTATGGATTCTGAATCCACGATTTCTACATGTTCAGGAGAAGTCGAAGTATTCATAATGCAAGATTGAAGGAAGAAGTTCAAGGACTAACATAGAGATACGAGAATGTGAAGAACACAATGAACGAAACAAGCGCGGAAGCAAGTCTTGAAGAAGTCCTTGAGTCGGAATAACGATAGACACAAATGGAAACGCCTCATGCGAAAGTGCAACTATACAACTTCAATTCCCTTTTAATTAGGAGTCGTAGTCCAATTAAAGAGGAATTGGGGGCAAAGTGTGGAGGGAAAAAATCCCTTCCAATGAAATTACTCCACGTCATCTCAGATGCAAATCTGTCTTCCAAAGGCCTGTCACACTCAAGCCCAAATTGAGTGTATTCTCAGCCCAGGGTCTCGGTTATCAGCCCTGTAGACCTTTATCCAGGCTGGATTAAAAGGGTATCAACCCATTCGCTAATATCAAGCATACGGCCCATTATTCAAAGCCCAGCCAGTTATGAAGAAATCCTACCAATAGGAGGATTTACCATGGAAGGAAATTTTACACAAGGCAAGTTCTGTGCATAGAAAATTCTTCAATGGAAAGAACTCTAATTGTAAAGAAAGTCATACATGTTAAGGATTGGAGGACAAGCAATGCAAGTCCTACCATAATTCTACTATTTTTTGTATATAAATAGAGGCTAAGACCTCCAATAAAAGGATCCCAAAATCATCCAAGCACATATATTGTTCTTGTTTATTTTTACTATTGATTGAGTGAGTTGTTTTATTTTTCTTAATCTTTATTGGTTGA